GCAAGCATATGAGGTTATTGAAAATACCATGGCTTGGGTAAGGCACAACTTAGTCTTCAAGCTGATATCTTTGCTCTTCAACACTGAAAAAAGGTCTTGTGCAGATTTGCCTAATGCAATACATCATTTGATTTCTTGACTGCTGCTTCTGTGAGTGTTGATAGTTGATCCAGGAAGAATGAAGTCCTGGACAACTTCAATCTTTTCTCCGTTGATAAGAATGTTGTTTATTGGTCCAGTGGTGAGGATTTTTGTTTTCTTTACATTGAGATGCAATCCATTCTGAAGGCTGTGGTCTTTGATCTACATCAGTAAACATTTTAAGTCTTCTTCACTTTCAGCAAGCAAGGTTGTATCATCTGTATATCACAGGTTGTTAATAAGTCTTCCTTTAATCCTGATGCATATGAGGTTATTGAAAATAACATGGGTTGGGTCAGACGCACCTTAGTCCTCAAGCTGACATCTTTGTTCTTCAACACTTTAAAAAGGTCTTGTGAAGCAGATTTGCCTAATGCAATATGTTGTTTGATTTCTTGACTGCTACTTCCATGAGTGTTGATAGTTGATCCAAGAATGAAGTCCTTGACAACTTCAATCTTTTTCTCTGTTGATAAGAATGTTGTTTATTGGTCCAGTCGAGTTTGTCGTCAAGTTGATCCTGACCTGTAGCGATCCTGTTTAGGGTTTCCAAGGAGCAGCTGGTGAGCTTGAACTTGACTCAATGGCACTTAACAACAATAACAACGAAACACAAGTATGACAAACTGAAGACACATTAACCACCTGCAATATGCAGATGATACAATCTTGCTTGTGGTATGTTGTTGCTGTTAAGTGCTGTTGAGTAGATTCCTACCCATAGCGACCTTGCATAGGGTTTCCGAGTAGAAGCTGGTGAGCTTGAACCGCCGACCTTGCTGTTCAAATGGCTTTGCATTCTGGCACATTAACCCACAGTGCCACACCAGGCTAAAGCAGTCAAGTGTTTGTTCAACCTTGAGTTCTCTAGGGTTTAATAACTTGGTATAATTTCCTCAAGTCTTTCCTGTGGGGAGCCATTGATTCACTGCTCATCAATGTCCATATAGCAGAATTTTCCCATCTCAAATACATTAAAAACGTATATCCAAATGCCTACAGATGTACCTATACATGCATGTGCATTTTCTCACATATGCTTTCCTATACACATATATGCAATCCATATCTATGTAAGTAATGTTGCATATATTTTTTTCTAACCATTATTTCAAAATTGTATATGTGTGGTGCAGTGATTGACTTGATATAGCTTTTCTAGCCATAATTTTTGTAACTACTACCAAAAAACTGACTGAGACCATGCAAATAAGGCATCTGGCACTCTTAACAGTGGGAATGGCCAGTTTTGCCATTCCCCTGGGTTTAAATGATCCATCTCAGAAGCAGGAATGAGGATCTCACTACCATCAGGAAAGAAGAGGCAGGACTAAAGCATGTCCTTTAGATTCCCAGATCCTTGAAGGCTGAATCTCCTTGATCCCAGAGACAGAGACCTGTGGCAGTTATAGAACCAAGAGCCAGAACATGAGACAGAGTGGTGAACTCCCTGGTCACGGAGCAAAAAAAAGCTGAGTGCCTTTAGGCAGAAGACTAACTTGTGGAGTGGGGTGCTTTCTGGCACTTAATTGGGGGAATTATTCAGACCCATGGAAGATGTCCGATGGATCTTGGCTGAAAGCAGAGAATATCAGAAGGATGTTTAC